TAGAAGAGGAAACAAAGAAACTGTACTCTGAATATTGTAACTATGTTTAACGTTATTTATGGTTTTTATTGGCAAAATTGTTTTACTTTTATAGAATATTAATGAAAAACAATATATAAGGCCATCGGTAACAATAAATAGACATAAAAAAGATCAAATGTTAAAAATAAATGTCAAGATAGAATTTTTACCGTGAGCTTTGAAACATTCTATATGAGAAAAAAAATAGTCTCAGAAATTTTTGAAATGGTTTGTGTTGTGTCAATGTTTTTCAAGTATTTTACTTTTTGAATCACCTTCTAATCTAATCTTCTAATCACAAAAGCTATTAAGTACTTTGAGAATTTAATCTTACTAAATTCTTACAAAACTGATACTTTTGATAAAAATAGTATCACATATTAATAGAATTTACAATGTTAAGAGCTTCTAGAAGTTATTATCTTCTGCCAACTTAATAGTTAACTTAAAATTTTAATTGTAAAAATCGGAAAACTCGTAAAAATAAAGTCGTTAATTTCGGTCGTTAAATTTATGTGCAGGTATTTTACCTAATAATTGCGAAAATTGCAAGCTAGTTTAGAAAAGCACAAAATTTAGAAAGTAGGAAAAGAAGTTCGGCGAGTTTTTGCCAAAAATCCATCGTTCCACATAAACTACCGTTTATTTCCTGAAGTTTGATGCGAGACACATCATCTGTGAAATTAAATTTCGGCAACAGCACAACTGACCAAATTTTCAGTTTCTGCCCCAATTAATTACGAATGATTGCTTAATTATTTAAAATAATGGAGGTTTTGCTCAGTGATTCCATTTTAATTACGTTATATAACGTTGACGTATTATATTATGCGTCGTAATTCTAAAATTCGAGTAATTAATTTCGTAAGTAAATAATAGATAGTCTGGACGGCGGTGTGGGCATATTTTACGGCCGAGATAGCACAACGAAATTCTTTATTTAATTGACTGTTCGGTTGCACTGTATATTTTTCTTGTGCAACACCAAAAAATTGTTGCGGTCGTTTGAGTTTTTTAAGTAATTGACGCCTTCACGGTTAAAATATTACTCAAGCACTTACCTTCACTCCAGTAAAAGCAGAAAACTAAAGGCACCCCTTTCACACTTTGCTGTTTTTGCATAAATAAATATTGCGAAATGGTTATGTAAAACATTTGTCTCAGAAGAACGATTGTTATCGTTAATGTTAAATTATATCTGCAGATCCGATCCTTACAATAAATTTAAAAATTTATCGTTGAACCAATCAAGCATTTGATTTGTAGCCGTAACAATTATTGTCTTCCTGCTGATGTTGCAAGAAAGAAAGTGCGACAAAAGTTTAAACAAATTTGGCCATTGCAGTAAATTAGATGTAATTGCAAACTTGAAAATGATCTATGAAACATGAAATTGCATAACGAATTCGAGTTCATGTTCAACAAGAATTCGCAAAATTGATGATATTACAATAGATTTTTGTAAATATTTCACTGTTTTACGTAATACACCTTGAAATACAGTTTAATCAAATTAAAATATGTATCGCTCTATATTGCAACACGCAAACGCTTTCTAGCTTAAATCACGCGTTCATTTTTTACACAAATTCGCGTTCCTTGCAATATTAATTATGGCACTAGAGTATTTTAGTACGTATAATACTTGAATTCCATATCAGAACGCTTTCACTGTTCTAGACCTGATAAAGTTATTCAAAGTTTATTTATTATCTTGTGTAACACTGATAGTCTCAATGTGGATTTAATTGGGACATCAAAAAAGCGATTTAATTTGTTGACTCGGAGGTAGGAATGTTAGGAATTGGAACTGAGGAAATGAAAAACTACCATTTAGTTTTTTATAGTTGCAAGGTTTTAAACTTTGGCAACTAATTGCCCGAAGACACCGATTTTTTTTTAGGTGCGAAAAATTAAACTATCTTTGGTAGAAAAACTGAAGTTTAAAACACATTTACCGATTATTTTACGCCCATATATTTTCTTTTAAGTTGTTGTAAATATCACTTACAGTAAGTTTAGAATTAAAAATTGTACAAAATTGCAGGTTTTCCATATAAAAAATAGACACATTTTACAATTTTAATTTATAGATGCATTGAAAAATTCTGTTAGAAGTAGTAATAGGGCTATTTGAAAAAAAACTTATGAAAAAAAATATTGTTATCCATAAAAGGCCTAAAAAATAATACATAAAGTAGGAAGAAGAGAATTTCTAAATTTCTGACTAGAAAACTATTATAAAAATTTAATGTAATCGTTGTCAAGAAGTATCTTTTTATCAAGATTTCGTTAGGGTTTTGACTCCTGTGCTTCTTTTATTTAATTGTTTATAACAATTCTGTTTAGATCATTGTAAAATGAGAAGCTTTGTACAAAAAAATTAAGTGTAAAACTCAAACACCAAAACAAAAATTTTCCAAAATCAGTTATATTTTTGTCGAAATTTGATATTCATAAATTAGATTTTCTAGAAAATAAGTACCTAGTTTAAGCTTCTTATTATATGCATTGCATGAATCATGCAATACAAACAACTAAGTAAATTAAATATAATAATAATAATTAAAAATAACTAAACAAAACTGATAAAAATCTTGTGTATTAGATAAGTGTTATCCTTTTAAATTTTAACACATCCGAACAAACAAAATTTTTATATTTACTATATCTCAAACCTTTGGAAATCAATAACAAAGTTTCATTATAACAAGCTCTAATTAAATTTCATAAAATGAATTTAGAATTTTTTCGTTGTGAGGCTTAATTACCAAGAATTCATGTAGCAACCCAAAGGTTATTTAATCATTCCATATTAAACAAAATTTCTATTAATTAGATATATAGTACGCACAATATGTTAAATGTTATGTAAATGCACTTTTAAGGTATGTAATTAAATAATAAAAACACAAACTTGTCGCATAACCTATTTACAATATATCCATTTTTCTAAATATCGGTAAGAAGCTGCCTTTATTTGGTAACTTTTGCAGCAATTTGGACATGAGATGATCACACAATAATAGAGTGCAAATCAGACTAATAAAATTTATTTCAATTTTCATGTCTCTTGATGTGTTTAATTTGTTCTTTAAATTCCGTTCCCAACACAAATTATGTTCCCAATCTGGAAAAAGTGAAAAACATGAGTCGCACAACTGCATTTTTCTTTCTCTATTAATTAAGTACATTTTATTAGTACATAACAAAAAATTGAGCTTTTTCACCACCATCTTTTGATGAATATTTTCCATTTTACTTTAAACTGGTGGTAATATTACATCATTGCTGACAAAAACCTTGCCCATTCTTTCACAGGTGTGTGTTGAAAAGCCGCCGTCATAACAATTCCCCCATTGTAATTACACATTTATAACTCACATAGTAAGTAAGGTAGTAAAAGTAACCTTATCGGAAAGCAATTAGTTATGAAAGTAAACGTTAAGCGTGAGAATAGCTGCGTTCTACTCCAAATAACTCATGGTTACATTTTTAAAGTGCGAGTATTAATCACAAGTGAAACCGTTTTATACTTAAACTTTTTTCTTTCTTTTCCAGTGGGACCAATAGACCAGTCTGCAGCTGCTGCGTCTTGGAATGATTTCGGCAACACAGATTTTTTCCAATCTGAGCACGCTGTAATCCAAACCCACCCCACATTGGGAGGCTCAAGATTTAGTTCTGGGGGTGGCAGAAAATCATGGAAACACTTAGATTTTCGAAGTTCAGCAACTGCCGAATTATTGAAGAATCCCTCGCTGTCTTCTCCTGACGAATGTGCTAGAGCATGTCGAGAGGGGGAACCCCCAAGAATTTGCTACTACCATTTCACCCTCGAATTGTACACCGTGCTGGGCGCGTAAGTTTCCATTTTGCACACGTCAAAACACTTTTTTTAAGTCAAAAGCTTGTTAATAATACACGAAATAAAAGATAAGATTAAAGTCAAATTGATATTTAAAAGAACTAAATAAAACAAAAAAGAAAAAAATTAGTTAAAAGTTTCAACAAATTTTGTATGTATGTATCTTCAAAATCCATTTTTTCCTGTTTCTTTCTCCAACTTTTTCTTTCTTTTATTCTACTTTTGTATTCTGTCTCTGTTTTTCTTTTCCTCTCCTGTTCTATTTTCACTTTCTGTTATTTCTATTCTTTGTGTCTATAACCCTTTTTTTCTCTCTTTTTTAACCTTTTCTACTATCTTTTTTTTACTTGAACCGTTCTAGTTGATTTTGTCTTTATCTTCTTTTATTTTGGTCTCACTGTTCTGAAAAATTATATGAGGTAAAAATAAGCGTATGTATTTAATACTAAATATCTAAATTCTCATACAAAAAACAAAAACAAATATCTGCAAAATGTGAATAAAGCAATGTTTTTGAAAACTAAACTAAGACTGATGACTGTTTGATTATTTTACTATAGTTCAAACATAAATTTAACAATAAAGAATTAAAAAAATATATAGATATAAATAAAAAACACATTGCTGAGAAAAAAAAACACAAAAAGAAAATACTCCTAATAAGCAAAAATTTAGAATAAAAAAACTTAGCTCACAAAAATTTCATAAGGCGAAAATGAAAAAGAAAAGAGAAGATAAATATGTAATAGTAAAATTTGACAAAATTTTTGAAGAAATTTTAATTCTGTTAATTTATCCATATGTTAAATCATTTCCACATTTTTTTATTCCCTATCCGTTTTTTGTTTTTACTCTGATATTTCTTTTTATCTTTCGCGTGTTTCTGTAGTTCTTTCTTTTGTTCTATCTTTAGTATCTAATCTTCATTAACTATCTTTATGTAGTTATTATGTCGTTTTAACTTAGGTATATTTTACCTTTGAAATTTTTTTAACAGAATTGTAAGTAAGCGCCTGTTTTTTAAAGAATTATGATGAACATTGGAGTAAAAATAACGCAAGAATTTAACAGTGTACATCTGAATTTTAATACAGAGAACAAAAATAGAAAAGAATAAAGAAAAAAAGGAGTTACTGCGAAATCTAAATAAAACAATGTTTAAAACTAAGGTAAAACTGATGAATATTTTACTAGTTTAAACATAAATGTAACAATAAATAAATTAATAAAAAGGTATAGAAAGAAAAAAAAAGATTAGGTACAACACTGTGTACCTACTACAAAAATTGATAATTGGAAAAAGATATAGAAAATAGAAAAATTTGCCGAAAAGTAATTTTTAAATAATTTTTTTGATAAATTTTTAATTAGTGAAGTAAAAAAATAACCACATCGTGTTCATTTAATTAATGTGTATGTGTTCAAAATTTGTGTAAACTTAACAATTAAGAACAAAATATAACAACAATTTTTTTCTCTTAATTTTTGTCATTTTTTCTGAATTATGGCAAAGTTTTGCCAAAATTTTTATCTTTCACACTTTCTAAACAAATTTAAGGATTGTTAACGGAATCTAATTTGTTCCTCTTTTTGTGTTTTTGTCCCCTAAATTTCTTAAAAATTTTATATTTCAAACATTTCCAAAATAAAGAAAGAGGGTGGCGTTAAATTTCAATTTGTTAAACTGCAAATTAGAAACGCTAGTCATACCAGCATTTACACGTGTCAAACACGAAAATAATGACTTCGAATTACTTGTACACAATGAGCATTGATAATTTATTTCGGCTATAATGAATACCAATATTTCAGGGCCTGCCAAGTGTGTACACCAAACGCTACCAACACGGTGTGGTCGCACTGCCAATGTGTCTTAGCCGATGGTGTCGAAAGAGGAATTCTGACGGCAAATCGTATGATCCCAGGCCCCAGCATCCAAGTTTGCGAAGGTGATAAGGTGGTAGTCGATGTGGAAAATCACATAGAAGGTAATGAAGTGACCCTCCATTGGCACGGAGTTTGGCAAAGAGGAAGTCAGTACTACGATGGAGTACCTTTTGTAACCCAATGTCCTATTCAACAAGGCAACACCTTCAGGTAACCACCCACACTTTATCCAATTTACTAAGATTAGAAGGGGGCATCCGCTGGGTTTTGCAAACATCAAGAATTTTATTAATGATATTAATTTATCAAAATAAAGCCAAGGATACATATTTTGAATTATTGCATGTAAATTTTGCTCAAAAAAGCAACTATCACTACTGCAATTTCCGTCTTAAATGTCAGTCGACACATCTTTTTTAATAACCCTCAATTAGCTCGAATGGATTTCTAGCTAAAATGTCAATACATAGTGCGACTTCTTACTAAAATGTGGAAAATTGTGCGTTATCCAATCACAATGAAAAGAGAAAATTACAAGTTTCTTCAAATTAACCTCAAAAGGTACCGTAGTAAAAGAATTAAAAAACGGTTGACATGCAAAGACATAATTTTATTGTCATGAACATATCCTACTTTGTATTCTTCAGTTACAATTTTAATAAATTAATGGAACGCAAATTACTCCTTGCAGATTTCTCATCATTCTAGTTATAGAAATTAAAAATGAAAGAATGACGTTCTTGACACAAAAATTTACTAATTTCTCCTTATGGTTTTTTTGTCGCTTGAGAATCAGCAAGGTTTAAGAATTTGTTCTAATATCATTATTAGGTGTTCCACATATATATTTCCTGCTGCTCCTATAAATTTAAAAGGTTTTTAACAACAAACTTACAAAAATTTGGGATTTGCCAAAATTTACAAAATTCTCTAGAAAATTTACCTAAACACAGCAGAAACGTAATTAATTAGAATGATTTTACTAAAGTTATATAAAAAATGTGTTATTTTAAACAAAAACAAAGATTGCAAAATTAGATCTAAAAATTTTGTAGGCTTGTAATTATAAATTCAGAGCGGTTTACACTAAAAAACTTATAAAATTTAGAAGATTCCATCAAAACAAAGTAAAAAATTGCAAAATTTAATCAGAAAATTGTTATTTCCTGTAAATTTTTCACTGTAGTGTTTTTCAATGAGAGATTCAAAAAATTTTTCAAACTTCATAAAATTGCAAAATTTGGCTAAAAAATGCCTTATTTCCTTTTGATTTTATAAATTTAAAGCGTTTTTTTACTCAAAAACTTACAAAACGTACCAATTTTGGTAGAAAATTACAAAATTAGGCTTAGAAAAGCGACATTTTCTCCGATTTTTATAAATCAAAAACGTTAATTTTCTTCCGGAAAACTCACTGAATTTAAAAAACAGAGATAAAATTGCAAAATGTGATCAAAATTTTGTTATTTTATATACATGTAAGTGTTTTTCTATGACAAATTCACAACATTCTAAAGATTTGGCCAAAACAAGACCAAAAATTGCAAAATTAAATCTAAAAATGTTATAGGCTTGTTACTATAAATCCGGAACGGCTTACACTGAAAAGCTTACAAAAATTGGGAGATTTCATCAAAACAAAGTAAAAAATTGCTAAACTTGATCAGAAAATTGTTATTTCTTTCAAAGTGTTTTTCATCTAGAATCTCATAAATTTTTAGAAACTTTCTTAAAACTTAAAGCAAGGCAAATTGCAAAATTTGGCTTAAAAATGCGTTATTTCCTTTGTTTTTATAAATCCAAAGCGTTTTTTACTCAAAAACTTACAAAATGCACCAATTTTGACTAAAAAAGGAGAAAACCACAAAATTAGGCTTAAAAAAGTCAAAAAACTCACTGAATTTAAAAGATTTCATCTAAACTGAGTGTAAAATTACAAAATGGGATCGAAATTTTGTTATTTTATATAAATTTAAATGTTTTAGTATAAGAAATTCACAATATTTTAAAGATTTTGATAAAAAAGACAATATATTGCAAAATTATATCCGGGAGAACCATATTTTTTCAAATTTTTACATTAAGTAAAAAATTATGAAATCAAATCAGTTATTTATAAATTTATAGCATTTTTTTCAATATGAAGGAACACTTTCCATAGCAACTTTACAAATATAAAATATCAGTTCTTGCCAAAGATGCTTTAGGCAAATGCAAATGCAATACACCAGCCCATGGTTACTTTAATAAGCAGTTGTAACAACTTCACACACAGGAAGTATTACAACCCGCTGTTTCACTTGATTAATTCGCAATAAATTAATTCATAATTCGTTTCAGGTACCAATGGATAGCTGGAAATGCAGGCACTCACTTCTGGCACGCTCACACTGGTTTGCAAAAAATGGACGGTCTCTACGGCAGCGTTGTAATCCGTCAACCACCAGCCAAAGACCCAAACAGTCATTTATACGATTACGATTTGACCACACACGTCATGCTTTTAAGTGACTGGATGCACGAAGACGCTACTGAAAGATTCCCCGGAAGACTGGCTGTCAACACTGGTCAAGATCCTGAGAGTTTACTCATCAACGGGAAAGGACAGTTTAGAGATCCCAACACCGGCTTCATGACAAACACTCCCCTTGAAGTTTTTACCATAACACCAGGACGCAGATACAGATTTAGGATGATCAACTCATTCGCTTCAGTATGTCCTGCTCAGTTGACGATTCAAGGACACGACTTGATCCTCATTGCCACCGATGGAGAACCAGTGCATCCCGTGAAAGTTAACACAATCATCTCGTTTTCAGGTGAACAAAATTTGCAACATTTACAACTTTAAATTGCATTAAGTTAATTTAAGATATAAAATAAGGCCTTGCTCAAAAAATATCGGTAATAAGAGTATAGTATATTACAACCCAAGTGGGAAATATGTCATTACCTACCCCGAAAACTAAAGTCTGTTTCTTTCAATAAACAATTGTCAATGTCAAAATTTTATCAAAGACCATACTGTATACAATTTAGTGAGGTTATGCAGTACTTGTGTGGTTGAAGTCATATCAAAATTAAAGCTTTTAATTAATACCATGAGAAATGATGAGAAAAATGACAATGGTATTTGTATGCAGTGCTGATAATCGTAAATTTGAAATTCACCATTAGCTGTTAACGAGTAAATTTTACCAACATAACAACATCTGGACAATTGTTTATTAAATGAAATATACTTTATATATGTATTTTACTATCATTGACGTAGTTGTTATCAGTGTTGTCAAGTTTAGTAAAGTTTCACCAGATCTGGTGATTTTTATGTTAGTCGGGTGATTTGGTAAAAACTTTTGGAAAAATTCTAATATCTGGTGATTTTTTGAAAATGAAAAAAACTGTTTTTCAAGCATTGCCCACGTTTTCAATCAGAAACTTGATTATTTCGTCGAATTTTTGCTCAAAAAAGCCGAAAAACCACCAAATTGGTTAAAAATACTTCTGTTTGTTTATTTACAAGACAAGGATAAAAATGACAATTTACTTTTGTCTTTTTCGAAAACTTTTTCAGCTAGAAACACAATTATTTCGGAAAATTTCGTTAAAAACAATCCAAGAATTCAACAAATTCGACCAAAAAACGACGTTATTTTTGCGTTTTCCAAGTGTTTAAGCACGTTTTTGAGATAAAAACAAAGGAAATTCTAAAAATTTTGTTGAAGCAGACAAAAAAAATACAAAATTAAATCAAAATTGATATTATTTTTGCTTGTTCCGCTCGACTTACTTCGTTTTTGAACCAGAGACTCATTTATTTTGCAAAAACTTGTCCAAACACGGTTAAAAAGCACAAAAACAATTGATACTGATGTTATTTTATTTGTTTCATTTGATTTAATAGGTTTTTGAGAAAAATAAGCTGAGAAACTACAAAATTTTACGAAAAAGATTTTAAGCGCGTTTTGGTACCAAAATCTCAGGTTTTTCAGAGATTTCGCTAAAACACATTTAAAAAATAAGAAATCAAGTCTAGAATGACATTATTTTTGCATTTTAGCACGTTTTTCAGCTAGAAACGCAATTATTTCGCAAAATTTTGTTGGAAACAAGCCGAAAAATCACAGAATTAAGCCGAAATGCTTTTTGCTTTTTTCAAGAGTTTAAGAGGAATTTTTAAGCTGAAAACTACGTTTTTTGTGAGATATAGCCATACAAATCCTAATCTGCTAAAAATTTGGCAAATTTTTCAACTCGAATCTGGTGAATTTTATGATCTTCTTGATCTGGCAACACTGGTTGTTAAGCAAAAAAATTGCGTTTTTGACATTTGATGGACTCATAACCTTGACAATCCTCCATAAATTACTTCCCGACCAAGGGATGTAATGACATATTTCGGCATATTGTCCAACAGATCACAGCCACCCTTTATGCAAAAACAGTGTGAATAATTTAAACAATGACACATACCGGAATGAAAGTGAAGCGTGATGGTGGGAGACGCAAAAATATCTCAGCCATCGGTTGTATTTGCTCAACATTCGACATAACCAGCAATTAGAATGCGGTCAGCATGCAAATGTACACACATTCAGGCTCACAAATTACATACAGTCATGAATATTAATATAATAGCAAAGAGGTAGTTGTCACGTTCTCTTTCGGCTAATTCCCAACAAAATTTAAAAGACATTCTTGCATAAATCGTGCGTTAAAAATTAACCAGGTCATTCGTCACTCTATTTGTTGCACAAATAGTTTTTTAGTGCAATTAACAAAATTTTCACAAAACAGGTGAAAGATACGATTTTGTAATCAACGCTGACCAACAACCGGGCGCATACTGGATTCAGCTTAGAGGTTTAGGGGAGTGTGGAATAAGAAGAGTACAACAATTGGGTATTCTGAGGTACGCGAAAGGACCATACCAACCCAGTCAAGCGCCACCCACTTACGACTACGGTATTCCTCAAGGAGTGGTGAGTAAAATTTTATCAAACAAACCCAAATCCACAAGTCATAGAAACAACAAAACACGCTTCTGTACATATTACTTTTGCTGTATTTTAAGTTTGTAAAATTTGGGGCTTCAGATACAAGAAGCTGATGTTTAAAGCTGGTGGTGGGACTAGAATAGGTAAAAGATTTGTACAGAACAGATGTAAAACAGAGAGGAGCTAAATTGTACAGTGTAAATAGATGTAAAAAGCAACTCCCTACAGGTATTAAATCCCTTGGATGCAAGATGTAATGAAGTTCGAGAAGACGCCATCTGTGTAAGCCAGTTAAAGAATTCCCTCGACATTGATAAGGGTATTCTGCGGGAAAAACCCGACGTTAAAATTTTCTTACCCTTCCGATTCCATATCTACACACCTGAAGATCTTTTCGCCCCCAATACATACAACAGACACTTAGGTAGGTGTAAAATAATCGGTTTAACGAAATATACTCGTACAGTTGGGACACTGAAGCTAACACCGTTCAATTTGATTTTATTGCAAATTTTGACGAAACACAGAAATATTACATTTAAAAAATATTATTTAAATTTTGTGATGCTTAAAATATAATCTCAATTTCAAAATTCAAGCTCAAAAATAAGCTTAGATCAAAATATGTCTCGCCCTAAAATTTTCTAAAATATTAGATCAGATAACCGCTAAAATAATATTCCAAGAAGAAAAAAAAAATACAAAAAAATTCCACCGAAATACCAGTAATTAAAAAAAACGGAAATTCCAGTAATTCCGATAATCCATCGTAATTCCATTGTTTTCAGATAAATTCCTATAATTCCAAATTAATTCCTGTAATTCCAATTCAATTTCAACTTAACTTCCGTAATTATTCAACTAAATTTTCATTATTCTAAAATAATTCGTCATTCTAAATTAATTCCGATATTTCAAAGAATTTCAACGTAATTTTCAAAAAAATTTTCAATTTCCAAAAAAAATCCAGTAATCACAAATAATTCCAGTAATTTCA